TTGTCGTCCATTTGATGTACCACTGCCTCGATCTTCCCCTCGTCGGTCATCCGATGAATTGTGACCTCCTGGTCTAGAATTAATTGTACCGTTGCCTCCATTATTGTTTTGTCGTGCATTTGATGAACCACTTCCTCGATCTTCCCCTCGTCGGTCATCCGATGAATTGTGACGTCCTGGTCTAGAAGTAATTCTACCGTTGCCTCCATTATTGATTTGTCGTCCATTTGATGAACCACTGCCTCGATCTTCCCCTCGTCGTTCATCCGATGAATTGTGACGTCCTGGTCTAGAATTAATTGTACCGTTGCCTCCATTATTGTTTTGTCGTCCATTTGATGAACCACTGCCTGGAGATGGAGGAGATCCATGATCACCTCTATCTTCCCCTCGTCGTTCATCCGATGAATTGTGACGTCCTGGTCTAGAAGTAAGTGTACCGTTGCCTTCATTACCTCGATCTTCTCTTTGTCGTCCATTACCTGTAAATGTAATAATATACGTTCTCAGTCAAACGTCTTTGGTTGAGTCGAATTTAAAATAACAATTAATGTGACAGGGGCTTTTATACACCTATCTAGGGCTTGTATGGCAAACATACGTCTGGTGTATCAAATTCAAAGGGCGTTTTTATAGTTTGCAAAAACGGTGAGGACGGGACAGTGAAGCTTGGAATAAAAACGTTCTTATATAGCAAGGTAGAAAGGTCGAACACTGGGTACTGCGTAAAATAAATGAGGAAATCATTCTGAAGAATGAATGTAAGCGATCTTTAAAGAACATAGAAAGAATATAACGAATATCAGTAATGTAATCTGAAGAAACTGTATTGAAAGAAATGCAGGTACGTTACCTAGCTGAAGGCAGATGGTTAAACATGTAAATATTATGAAGTCCCACAACTGATTGAATATGAGATTTGTAGACGACTACAGATTGATGGCTAAGTAAGTACCGTTTTTGGGGATTTATAGAAATCGGTAGTGTAAATTTCCTGAAATAGAGAAAACTTGTACATGACAGGTATTTTAATCTATGTTACCACGGGCTAGAATAAAATTTACAAATTATATTTTCACAGAGTCATTTATTTTTAAGTTAACATTTTGTATTTTTTTTTTATAATAGATTAAATCTCAGAAACTAGGTTTACAATTGGAACTTTTAGAATTAAGTTTAGAAGCTACACCAAGTAGCTTCTAAATGATTGCTAATATTAATTTTGTGTACAAATATTAGGAGCAGTCATATTGCAGAAAATTAGTATTAAAATGTAACTACTTAATTTTAGTCAACCGTTTTGCTGTCAAAACTGATTGGTTTAAGCTTCTGTTGACAAAGAAATTATATTTCTCGAGAACAGAATAGAGGAATGAATATAATTTAGAACATTTATTTTACCATAGTGCTCCATTTTAACCAATTCACACTACGATTCGTTGATGCAATAATGAAACAAAAGCTTGAATCAAGGTCGAGGGACATTTCATGAGCAGTTTGGTGCACAGATGACAAAGAAATCTTAAAAGTGATAAAAATGAACAACATGAGTTAGGCCTAATACATAGGCTAATGATGATTGTGAATTCTTTGAAATGAGATCAGCAAAGCAAAGGCAAAAGAAGAATGTGATAAAAGGGTAATTATAAACATAAGACGACAACTTATGAATTAATACAAGACCCCTTGAAAGTCTCAAATTTATTAAACGATCACTTTACTAATATAGGTCCTGAACTTGCTAAGAAAATCATTAATAACACTCCTAGAACCTTCTGCGATTACCTTCATTCCCCTATTCCAAACTCAATCTTTCTTTCTCCAGTTTCTGAAGAAGAAGTGTACTCAATTGTAAACTCTTTTAAAACTAAGAAGGCTCCAGGCATTGATGACATCTGTGGACAAGTTGTAAAAAAATCTATTGATCTTGTTCTTTA